AAGAAAGCCATCGCCATCTGCGCCCATTCAACACAGCCTAGATTTAAATTGGTATTACTTCTAAACAAAATAACGTTTTGAGGTTCTCATACGCTTACAATGATGTTTTGATTCATGCTTGAACAGTCGCTAAGATTATATTTGGTTGTGATCTTTGCAAAATAACTATTTTGGTTGCAGCAGTTGTTAGCTAGAATGCTAACGCTCATTTATATAGGCTGTAGCAAAAGCTAGCCAGAAAGCGATTTTACTGGTTGAAGTTGAAGTGTTTTTAAAGTATAATGCAGTTGATTTGCGATGACACAAACATTATACTAAGCAGGACATTCATACGAGCCTTAAAATCAAATTATAGCTCAAAAGTAGTGCGAAATGCACTACTAATCAACATGTAAATAGAGGCTTTTTTTTGCTGGTGTTCTATAAGAACTCCCCCTTGCTATACTCCTTATTTAATGCATCAGCAGACATTATGCTATCTAATACAGCACACTTACAGTGCCTTTGGAAAGTATTCAGACCCCTTGACTTTTTCCACGTTGTTACGTTACAGCCTTATTCTAAAATGGATTAAATGTGGGGGTTTTCTCAACAATCTACACACAACACCCCATAATGACAAAGCGAAAAAAGGTTTTTAGAAATTTTTGCAAATCAGAAATACGTTATTTACATAAGTATTCAGACCCTTTGCTATGAGACTCGAAATTGAGCTCCTTGATGTTTCTACAACTTGATTGGAGTCCACCTGTGGTAAATTCAATTGATTGGACATGATTTGTAAATGCACACACCTGTCTATATAAGGTCCCACAGTTGACAGTGCATGTCAGAGCAAATACCAAGCCATGAGGTCGAAGGAATTGTCCGTAGAGCTCTGAGACAGGATTGAGTCGAGGCACAGATCTGGGAAGGCTACCAAAAAGGTTATGCAGCATTGAAGGTCCCCAAGAACACAGTGGCCTCCATTATTCTTAAATGGAAGAAGTTTAGAACCACCAAGACTCTTCCTAGAGCTGGCTGCCCGGCCAAACTGAGCAATCGGGGGAGAGGGGCCAATGTTCACTCTGACAGAGCTCTAGAGTGCCTCTGTGGAGATGGGAGAACCTTCCAGAAGAACAACCATCTCTGCAGCACTCCATCAATCAGGCCTTTATGGTAGTGGCCAGACGGAAGCCACTGCTCAGTAAAAGGCACGATAGCCCGCTTGGAGTTTGCTAAAAAAGGCACATAAAGACTCTCAGACCATGAGAAACAAGATTCTCTGGTTTGATTAAACCAAGATTGAACTCTTTGGCCTGAATGCCAAGCGTCACGTCTGGAGGAAACCTGGCACCATCCCTATGGTGAAGCATGGTGGTGGCAGCATAATGCTGTGAGGATGTTTTTCAGTGGCAGGGACTGGGAGACTATCAGGATCGAGGGAAAGATGAACAGAGCAAAGTACAGAGAGATCCTTGATGAAAACCTGCTCCAGAGTGCTCAGGACCTCAGACTGGGGCGAAGGTTGACCTTCCAACAGTACAACGACCCTAAGCACACAGCCAAGACAATGCAGGAGTGGCTTCGGGTCAAGTCTCTGAATGTCCCTGAGTGGCCCAGCCAGAGCCCGGACTTGAACCAAATCGAACATCTCTGGAGACCTGAAAAAAGCTGTGCAGCAACGCTCCCCATCCAACCTGACAGAGCTTGAGAGGATCTGCAGAGAAGAATGGGAGAAACTCCCCAATACGAGCTTGTCGCATCATACCCAAGAAGATTCAATGCTGTAATCACTGCCAAAGGTACTTCAACAAAATACTGAGTAAAGGGTCTGAATACTTATGCAAATTTGATATTTCCATGGGTTGCGAGGGGGGGCTTTGTTACTACGCCGATAAATTACATTATCCATCCGGACCTTTGCCACCTAGGACATTTGTGTGACCGGACGTTCTCAAATGGTACTTGAGTACACCTGGTCTATGTCATGGAAAGAGCAATGTTTTGTATTCTCAGTGTATTTTCTTAGACTAGTAGATCTATAATATAATAATATAATATGCCATTTAGCAGACACTTATATCCAAAGCGACTTACAGTCATGTGTGCATACATTTTTACGTATGGGTGGTCCCGGGGATCGAACCCACTACCCTGGCGTTACAAGCGCCATGCTCTACCAATTGAGCTACAGAGGACCACAGTATGGGCCACACCTATGGAGATAAGGAACTGAGTTGGCCTTATCTCTGCAGTTATCCCAGTTAGATTTTGTATACAGTGCTCAGTCAGGCAGTCCATCTTTTAACCATTGCTTTAGGGGGGAGGGAAGGAAAATCAATGCAGCCTCAGAGAAGCCACCAAGCTAGCTTGGCCACGAGGAAACTGTCAATAAAGAGTTGCGTCCTAAGCACTTCATATTTAAATGTACTCTGCTACTGCACCAGCACCAGCAATTCATTTCAATGTTGTTAATGTTGTCTGGGAGTCATTCATATATTTAACCATGAATTTAAAGAATCACTTCTTGAAAAAATATTGAATGCAAGTAAAATATATATTCTCCCCATGAGCACAATTAAGATTGAAGCAGAGAGCTGGGAAATGGTCATGGAGGGATCTAATGACTTTCCTTTGACTAAATGTACATCCTTGAATAACATCAGGGCCAAACGGTTAAGGGGCAAATTGAGAGGTTTAAGACATTGGTAACATAGAATTTTTAGGCACTGTAATTGTATTATGAACTTAATGGTGTGATATTAATCTGAAGAGGATTCCTATGGGCATCTCTCTTAATAGAGTCTGGATACTCTGGTAGGAAGGATATACTGTTATACCTATTGAGAATAGAAGTTAAATGGAAGATCATGTAAATGGGACAAGGTGTCTCTGAGGACCTGCTTTGATCTCAGCAAATCTATGTGATTTACAGTGCCTTTGGAAAGTATTCAGAACCCTTGACTTTTTCCACATTTTGTTAGGTTTCAGACTTATTCTAAAATTGATTAAATTGTTTTTTTCCTTCATCAATCTACACACAATAACCCAGAATGACAAAGCAAAAAAAGGGTTTTAGAAATGTTTGCAAAAATATATAAAATAAATACAAAATATATATAAAAATTACATAAGTATTCAGACCCTTTACTCAGTACTTTGTTGAAGCACCTCTGGAAGCAATTGCAGCCTCGAGTCTTCTTGGGCATGACGCTACAAGCTTGGCACACTTGTATTTGGGGAGTTTCTCCCATTCTTCTCTGCGGATCCTCTCAAGCTCTGTCAGGTTGGATGGGTAGCGTTTCTGCACAGCTATTTTCAGGTCTCTCCAGAGATGTTCGATCAGGTTCAAGTCCGGGCTCTGGCAGGGCCACTCGAGGACATTCAAGAGACTTGTCCCGAAGCCACTCCAGCATTGTCTTGGCGGTTTGCTTAGGGTCGTTGTCCTGTTGGAAGGTGAACCTTCACCCCAGTCTAAGGTCCTGAGCACTCTGGAGCAGGTTTTCATCAAGGATCTCTCTGTATTTTGCTCCATTCATCTTTGCCTCGATCCTGACTAGTCTCCCAGTCCCTGCCACTGAAAAACAACCCCACAGCATGATGCTGCCGCCACCATGCTTCACCGTATGGATGGTGCCATGTTTCTTCCAGACGTGACGCTTGGCATTCAGGCCAAAGAGTTGAATCTTGGTTTCATCAGACCAGAGAATCTTGTTTCTCATGGTCTGTGTCTTCAGGTGCCTTTTGGCAAACTCCAAGAGGGCTGTCATGTGCCTTTTACTGAGGAGTGGCTTCCGTATGGCCACTCTACCATAAAGGCCTGATTGGTGGAGTGCTGCAGAGATGGTTGTCCTTCTGGAAGGTTTTCCCATCTCCACAGAGGAACTCTAGAGTACTGTCAGAGTGACCATCGGGTTCTTGGTCGCCTTCCTGACCAAGGCCCTTCTCCCCCGATTGCTCAGTTTGGCCGGGTGGCCAGCTCTAAGAAGAGTCTCGGTGGTTCCAAACTTCTTCCATTTAAGAATGATGTTTGCCACTGTGTTCTTGGGGACCTTCAATGCTGCAGAAATGTTTTGGTACCCTTCCCCAGATCTGTGCCTCGACACAATCCTGTCTCGGAGCTCTATGGACAATTCCATCGACCTCATGGCTTGGTTTTTCGCTGACGTGCACTGTCAATTGTGGGACCTTACATAGACAGGTGTGTGCCTTTCCAAATCATGTCCAATCAATTGAATCTACCACAGGTGGACTCCAATCAAATTGTAAAAACATCTCAAGGATGATCAATGGAAACAAGATGCACCTGAGCTCAATTTCGAGTCTCATAGCAAAGGGTCTGAATACTTATGTAAATGTGATATTTCCGTTTTTTAATTATACAATTCTAAAAACCTGTTTTCACTTTGTCATTATGGGGTATTGTGTGCAGATTGCTGAGGATATTTTTTTATTTAATCAATTTTAGAATAAGGCTGCAACGTAACAAAATGTTGAAAAATCAAGGGGTATGAATACTTTCCGAAGGCACTGTAAATAACTTCAAAATTAATTATGCATGCAGACTGGGATCGCAAAGTCCACTAATTCACTAGATTTTACTCTCCCCACTTGCTCTCATTTTGGTCGCAACTTACTCCCTTTACACTGATGCTCCACATATCCAGTTTAATGTTAGCTAAAAAACAATGTCATTCTTGCTATTAAAAGCTATTATGAATGCAAATAATGAAACACTTAAACAATTATGTATGTGAAAAAGGCACCAATGTCATTTTATCAGATCACATACCGTATAACCTTTCAGAGGGTATACTGTATACTCTAAATCAATATTGGCCTTGGATATACATAGACACTTGTGAAAGTTCCAAACCCAACATACTTTATTTGGAACAGTCCGATAAAACAGGCAATATGAAGAAATAGTCCATAAAGATTCTTTTTAAAAAGGCTTTCTTTTTCTTAAAGTCAGAGGATGCAAAAAAGAGAATAGTAACGATATAATTATAATAAGGTCACTGTAATCGAAGGTAGCTCTTGCAGAGTTCATGGTCCCTAATGTCCCCCCAGCCCCCGTTCTTCACATGGGGCGCCACCCCCCCTGCCCCGTTAGCCGGCAGTCTCTTAGTAATCAGCAAGTTCTTGGGGAACAGCTGATTGCTGCTGCTCAGAAGGATGTTCTCTATCTTGGTCTTTTGGCTAGATGGCATGCACACAGACTTTTTGTGGTGCATTCCGCAGTCCCCGGCGTGGAAGACCCGGGGCGCCTCGCTCACCATGACCTTCCAGTAGGATGGCAGACAGGTCACGGTCAGGTGCTGCAAGGACCAATCCCAGTTGTAGTCGTCATAGGTGCAGAAGGCGTCAGTGCATTGGAGGAGCTTCTGGTAGGTCTCCCTGCTCAGAGCCATGCCCATGTTGTGCTCGGTGGACTTCCAGGCTTTCACCTCCACCTTGTTGGATTTGCTGGCGTAGCTGATGTGGCCATAGCTCCCCAGAGACAGGATGTCACAGTCTGGGCAATTCTCCCTCTTCAGGATCGACATCAGCTTGAGGAGGTGGAGGAAGTCCGGGGAGAGGAAGTGGTCCTCCTCGATAAGAAGCACCAGGCCCCGGTGGTCCTTCAGCGCCCGGACCCTGTCCCACACAAAATGCAGCTTCCACCACCAGTGGTGCTTGGTCTGGGAGAACTTGGCCTCGCGGTAGTGGCCGAATGAGTCGGGGTACTCTGCGTTGATGCAGCCCAGCTTTAAGGCGTCCATCTTGGGAACGTCTCTGGGACAGTCCCTGGGGTCGTGGCCCGGGAACTCCTGGGGGTACAGCTGGATGCTGAAGGGGAAGAAGATCTGGAGGACCTGGCAGAAGTCGACCGAGGCCACCACTTCGTTGATCTCGGGGGACCAGAAGTCGTGGCTGAAGATGAGCAGGATGCTCTCCACGCCGCGGGCCTTCCTCAGACTCTCCACCAGCAGCCTCAGGTAGTCAGGTCTGTTGTGCACCTGGACCACCACCACCAGATCGTCCTTCTTCCTCACTGCCCTGAACCTCTCTTCGTGCCTCACCGTCTGGTCAAAGTTGAGCTGGAACACGATGCCACGGTAGACGAGGGTAGTGTTGTCCACATCCGGTTTGACCGCTTTCTCCTTCTCCAGGTGTTTTTCGGGTTGGTTCTCCAGTTGCGTCTCGTTGGCAGGTGCTACAGGTGCGATTGGTGGAACGATGGGTATCCGACTGACTGCAGGTGTGGCCTGCGGCTGTGGATGCACCTGGCTACTACTGCTTCTCCTTGCCCCCTCAGCCTCTTTGGGGACCACCACTCCACTGCTCTTCTTCTGCTTCCCACTGGTCCAGAAGGCTAGGCCACACACCACCACCACCAGCGTCAGTATCACCACCTGGACATAAGATACAAATCAAATCATATCCCATGCCGGTTTTGGACTCTATCCTCCCCCCTATTGGCGTTATTTTACTATTGTTTTCAATTGCATTGTTGTTTCTATTTTCTTTTTTTATTTGAAGATACAGTAAGATTATGTAACATAGTTTATATTATGAGTGTACATGAGTTAATATCTTATTCAATTGATCCAGTAGGTCCTGCTTCTTCAGCTGAACTAAATACGTCACAATAAGATAGGTTTTATTGTCTAGGACTGTTTTCAAACAATGTGTTTTGTTTGTGCCATTTAAAACATGCCCAGTACTGAAACATGCAGCACATACAAATGACTTGGGACTCGTCGTGTATTGTACCTTCCTCTTGTAGATTCGGAATCTCATGATAGGCAGTCACCCCCTTGGGAAAGGAGTGGAGTTGATTGTAGAGAAACTGAAAAAACACAGGTTTGCAATTTCAAATGGTACTGCTGTGCTTTGGGGCCAGACAGGGAGGCAGGCAGGTTTGGAAAAAAACTGCTTCAAATTGTGTTTGTTGCTAACACTTGTTGCTTGAGGTAACTTGTGGAATATCAGTGATGCCAGGTGAGAGTTCCATAAGGCATGTTGGTCGCTAAGAGGCTGCAGGGTAGTGGTGTGCATGGAACCCAATGGAAAACAAAAGAAGAGAAAACAATTAAAGTAATTGTAGTATTTCTGTGTACTAAACTAGCTTCCTTTATTAAATGCAACCTGCATACATCATATCAACGATAAAACACAGCTGTTTTATTGGAGTACATAGATATTTTTCAGCAGAACAAAACATAATTTGGTTTTATGACAAAAGACTTGACAACGATCTGCAAAATGCATCATAGACAATACACTGACAAAAATATTCCCCATAAGCAGTGCATTCGGAAAGTGTTTAGACCTGTTGACTTTTTCCACAATTTGTTTACATTACAGCCTTATTCTAAAATTGATTCAATTGTTTTTTTTCCTTATCAATCTATACACAATACCCCATAATGACAAAAATTTTTTTTTTTTGAAATATAACATTTACATAAGTATTCAGACCATTTACTCAGTACTTTGTTGAAGCACTTTTGGCAGCGATTACAGCCTTGCGTCTTCTTGGGTATGACGCTACAAGCTTGGCACACCTGTACTTGGGGAGTTTTTCCCATTCTTCTCTGCGGATCCTCTCATGCTCTGGCAGGTTGGGTGGGGAGCGTTGCTGCACAGCAATTTTCAGTTCTCTCCAGAGATGTTCGATCGGGTTCAAGTCCGGGCTCTGGCTGGGCCACTCAATGACATTCAGAGCCTTATCCTGAAGCCACTCCTGCGTTGTCTTGGCTGTGTGCTTAGGGTCGTTGTTCTGTTGGAAGGTAAACCTTCACCCCAGTCTGAGGTCCTGAGCGCTCTGGAGCAGGTTTTCATCAAGGATCTCTCTGTATTTTGCTCCGTTCATCTTTCCCTTGATCCTGACTAGTCTCCCAGTCCATGCTGCTGAAAAACATCCCCACAGCATGATGCTGCCAACAACATGCTTCATCGTATGGATGGTGCCAGGTTTCATCCAGATGTGACGCTTGGCATTTAGGCCAAAGAGTTAAATCCTGGTTTCATCAGACCAGAGAATCTTGTTTCTCATGGTCTGAGAGTCATTTAGGTGCCTTTTGGCAAACTCCAAGTGGGCTGTCATGTGCCTTTTACTGAGGAGTGGCTTCCATCTGGCCACTTTACCATAAAGGCCTGATTGATGGAGTGCTGCAGAGATGGTTGTCTTTCTGGAAGGTTCTCCCATCTCCACAGAGGAACTCTGGAGCTCTGTTAGAGTGACCATCAGGTTCTTGGTCACCTCCCTGACCAAGGCCCTTCTCCTCCGATTGCTCAGCTCTAGGAAGAGTCTTGGTGGTTCCAAACTTCTTCCATTTAAAAATGATGGAGGCCACTGTGTTCTTGGAGCCCTTCAATGCTGCAGAAATGTTTTGGTACCCTTCCCCAGATATGTGCCTTGACACAATCCAGTCTTGGAGCTCTACAGACAATTCCTTCGACCTCATGGCTTGGTTTTTGCTCTGACATGCACGGTCAACTGTGGGACCTTATATAGACAGGTGTGTCCCTTTCCAAATCATGTCCAATCAATTTAATTTACCACAGGTGGACTCCAATCAAGTTTTAGAAACATCTCAAGGATGATCAATGGAAACAGGATGTTGGTTAAGGGCTTGTAAGTAAGCATTTCACGGTAAGGTCTACACCTGTTGTATTCGGGGCATGTGACAAATACATTTTAATTTGACCCGAGCTGAATTTCGAGTCTCATAGCAAAGAGCCAGAATACTTATGTATATAAGGCTTTAAAAAAAAATACATTTGCAAACATAAAAAAAAAAAACTGTTTTCGCTTTGTCATTATGGGGTATTGTGTGTAGATGAGGGAAAACATTACTCTAAAATGGATTAAATTAAGGCTGTAACTTAACAAAATGTACAACATTTTGAAAAAGTCAAGGGGTCTGAATACTTTCCGAATGCACTGTATATCTCAATCTGTAGGATAAATGATTGTCGTTTAGGGCTAATACTTTATTTATCGTCACAAAGTATCTGCCAGTCATCATGATTTAGCTAGAATCTTAATTTAGACATACGAGCTCTCCCATATCAACCCTAGCTCTACTTCAACATTATATGATTAGTTCTCTATTCTCATCTTATCTCAGCAGCGTTTCTTTCTGGGTTGACCTCACTCATTTATACTGCCCAGAGGCACTGTCACAATCAATACACATACATCAAGAGCCTTTGCACTGGATCACAGACTCCCTTGATAAAAACAGAGCATTGAAATGTTCTTTTTTTAACGGTGTAACGTTAATGTTACATTACACGCCTGTCATGCTGACTTTCACTAGATGACGCGATACACACAGTCAACAAGCTGTAGAGCTAAGCAAACCACCACCTATCATTTCAAAACTAGACCCTTTTCTTATGTTTGTTAATGTAAAAACATTTCAATCGTTTAACATGTCATCCGTTGCGGGAAATGTGGTTTTTCTAACCAAATGTAGCTCAAGCAAATAATGATATATTCCTTCTAGCTAACGTTATCGTCTTGGTAGCCCAGAACTGGCCCCCCGGGACATTTACGTCAAACCACCAACCCCATTTCGCTCGAGACTCATGCCGTGTAGGTCTGCATCATACACAACTACCAGATTGCTATATTTCGTAGCTTAAACATTGTTTAACAAGTGATGTTATGGTAGCTAGCTAGCAACGTAGTTAGATGGAAATCTAAATGCGGCACGTAGAAGCTAGCTGGTGCGAGCGTATCATATTTACAAACAAGCACTCCAGTTGCGCCTCAATTCATGGCCAAAACAGACTGTCGCAACAAGCTTAATCGTGGAAAAAACTGCGTTTTATATTTACCTAAAAAGGTAGTCGTACTATGCAGCTTTCTCAGCCGAAATTAACAGTGCGATGACATGAGATATTCATTCTCCTCCATCACTTCTCTCCTCTCCTGCTCCCAATTTCTGGGCAAAATAACACATTAACCAGCTAGCTAGCTAACGCTGCCACAAAATACCAAAATACCAAACCACTGGCTCCCACAATGCATTACTCCGGAGGGGGGGCTCTCAATACATAGTTTTTTAGCTATGCTACAATGTTGCATTGAACTGAACCATTGAACTGTAGGAGTATAAACAATGTAACAATATGGAGATCTCTGTAAATACAATCTTGCATGTATATAGTTGATATGATATTTCTTAAGAATTAGTCATTTGTTTGAACAATAGATAAACAAAGTCTTATTTAAATCAAATCAAATTATATTGGTCGCATATTTAGCAGATGTTATTGCGGATGTAGCGAAATGCTTGTTCTTCTGATCTGTTTTATGACAAAGTAGCTATCTACTCTGATAATAATGTAACCCAATTCGATATTATTGTGTATATTAAACTATTCTTGATTGTATTCCATACAAAAAGACAGGCAGAAAATAGTATCACTACTAGCCTAACTTTAGTCTATTATCGTTAAATTTTCAAGAAATCATTTTATTTTATTTTATGATGGTCCTTCTACTGGCATTACAAAGTGGGAAAGTATCCAAAGGAATTTTACTGTAACTCGTCTGTGTTCACAGTATGTTGGATTTGTTTTCTTATATAATAATAATTGCACTGTGAAATAAACTCAATCTGGTTGATTTTCTTACATACTTTGATATTGATTCACCTACTATTGGTATAATTATTACATCTTTCTTAATAATTTAAGAATGTTCATATTAATCACATTTAAAGCTACTTTTTGCATGCATGTTACTAGTCAATGCATGATTGTAACATGAACCTGCTTCAAAACCAGCTCATGGGGTCCACTTGTATACATTTGAGGAGGTGAAAGATGGGTAGGCTAGTTCTTCGTATGTATTATTGTAAATATTTAACAGCATGCCATTTTAATGAATGATTCCTGCTTGTACAAATGCCTTGTTGAGCTATTCATCCGAATATTGACGCTGAGATTGGGGAATTGTAAATAAATTCACCATCTATTGAATTCCACAGCTGCAGCAGCAGGCTCCAGATATATGATGGGTTGTTGTTGCTGATGCAGGTTGTTGGCGCTATCTAGTGGTATACTACAAGAAGAACGCAACGCGATGTTTCCCACTATGCATTGTGGGCGGAAGAAGCCCAGCGCAATAGTTTTATTTGCGCATGCGCACCATACTTCCTTCCTTTCTGACATCCGAGCGAAAGAGACAAGATGGGTCATCAGCAGCTCTATTGGAGTCACCCCAGAAAATTCGGTCAGGGATCCCGATCCTGGTCAGTCATGTTCAGTATTTATTATTATTTTCTTTATAGTGAATTTCAGAGTCCGTCAGATTTTCAGGAACCAAAATTCTTGGTGTACAATTCGAACCACATGAAGACTTAGTTCGAGCTAATATGGCGGCTGATGTGCAGCAACGCTGGGCCCGGGCCTCACATTCTTCGCGCATGTTAACGTTGGCTGTTTGCAACTTCTAGTACTATGTAATCAAGTACAGTGACGTGGCTAGTGAAAATTTAATTATTTTGAGCCGTCAATATACCACTCAATGTGAATGTTGCAGGTTTATCTGCTGCGAACACTTGTTAGCTAGGGAACGTTAGCTGGCTAATTTTGAATGAGCTTCAACTTGCTGGGCATTTTTTATTAAATCATATTCATCATGTTTGTCTAACATTTACATTCTTTGATTTCCAGCCGGGTATGCTCGAACAGACACGGTTTGATCCGTAAATACGGGCTCAACATGTGCCGCCAGTGCTTCAGGCAGTACGCGAATGACATTGGCTTTGTCAAGGCAAGTAGTTGCTTTGTACTCTTTATATCAACTGTAAGTCACCGTTGGCTAGTTGCTGACATTGTTGAAAAATGCTAACGTCGAGGATAAAGGAATTCCTGCTTCAGAATGCACAGTACAGGTGGTTTACCAAACATGGGGTAGTTACAGTGCATTCGGAATGTGTTCAGACCACTTCCCTTTTAACACATTTTAAGTTACAGCCTTATTCTAAAATTGATTAAATTAAATGTTTTTCTCAATCTACCCCACAATACCCCATAATGACAAAGCGAAAACCGATTTGTTTTGGTACAAAAAAAACCTCATACCTTATTTGCATAAGTATTCAGACTCTTTGCTATGAGACTCGATTGTCCGTGGAGCTCCGAGACAGGATTGTGTCGAGGCACAGATCTGGGGAAGGGTACCAAAAAAAAAATTCTGCAGCATTGAAGGTCCCCAAGAACACTGTGGCCTCCATCATTCTTAAATGGAAGAAGTTTGGAAACACTGAGAGCTTACTAGAGCTCTTTCCAAACTGAGCAATCGGGGGAGAAGGCCATTGGTCAGGGAGGTGACCTAGAACCCGATGGTCACTCTGACAGAGCTCCAGAGTTCCTCTGTGGAGATGGTTGTCCTTCTGGAAGGTTCTCCCATCTCTGCATCACTGCCGAATTAGGCCTTTATGATAGTGGCCTGAAGGAAGCCACTCCTCAGTAAAAGGCACATGAACGCCTGCTTGGAGTTTGCCAAAAGGCACCTAAAGTCTCTCAGACCATGAGAAACAAGATTGAACTCTTTGGCCTGAATGCCAAGCATCATGTCTGGAGGATACCTGGCACCATCCCTATGGTGAAGCATGGTGGTGGCAGCATCATGCTGTGGGGATGTTTTTCAGTGGCAGGGAGACTAGTCAGGATCGAGGGAAAGATGAACGGAGCAATGTACAGAGATCCTTGATGAAAACTTGCTCAGGACCTCAGACTGGGGGAGAAGGTTCACCTTCCAACAGGACAACGACCCTAAGCACACAGCCAAGACAATGCAGGAGTGGCTTCGGGACAAGTCTCTGAATGTCCTTGAGTGGCCCAGCCAGAGCCAGGACTTGAACCTGATCGAACATCTCAGGAGAGACCTGAAAAAAGCTGTGCAGTGACGCTCCCCATCCGTCCTGACAGCTTGAGAGGATCTGCAGAGAAGAATGGGGAAAAACTCCCCAAATACAGGTGCCAAGCATGTAGCTTCATACCCAAGAAGACTTGAGGCTGTAATCGCAGGCAAAGGTGCTTCAAGGAAGTACTGAGTGAAGGGTCTGAATTCTTATGTAAATTTAATTCAGTTTTATCTTTTCAAGAAATGTGCAAAAAAAATTTGCCCTGTTTTTGCTTTGTCATTATGGGGTATTGTGTGTAGTTTGAGGGGGGGGGGGGGGAACAATGTAATCCATTTTAGAATAAGGCTGTAACGTAAAAAACAAATGTTTTAAAGTCAAGGGGTCTGAATGCTTTCCGAATGCTAGATACTTCGTTTTATTCAGAATATAATCAATAGGTTATGTTCCTAATGTATTCTACAATACCATTCTCTTGACAGTTAAGTTGGGTAGTTGTAATTCTGTACTACATGAGTCTAACCCTGAAATTGCTTTTTTCACAGCTGGACTAAATGCATTGGATGCTAAAGGTTCCCCAGGAGGTCAAACCAGCTGAGAACGGGATGGTCCAGCAATGAAAATAAATGCTTTCTTTTGTCCTACATATTGGTCTTGTCTTATTTTGATGTTCTGCATGATATGCAAACTGATTCCCATCTGTTAGATAATGAACTAATTTGATTACAGTAAATCTATTTATTGTATGGATTTGTTATTGAAACTTTAGTAATGGCTACTTTCACTGTTGCGTGCACAATGTAGTGTTTACGCTCCTGAGATATACTCTTGAGTCCTAAATACTGACAATTTTTGTTAAGCCTATACCCAGATTGTCAACTGCTATCGAAGTTCAAATATTTGATTGGTAAATTTGATATCTTGCTGCTATTGTGACATGTTGTGGTAGAGCTTTGAAACATATTTCTGAAAACTCAAATGGGGCTGCTGCAAGTAGTCACTTCTAGGTTGTATACCAGCACTTGATAAATCAATTATGTAATCTGACAGGTTTAAAACATAAATGTGTACGTCTGTCATTCTGGGTTGGAAAACTGAAATCCATGTTTACTGGTTGGTGCGCAAAGTGCATTTGATCCTGGTAGGTAGCAAACGACTGATGTGTGATACACTCGGAAAACCACAAACTCTTATCCTTGCCACAATGAATGGGTGTGTCCCAATATCCCCTGAATTGTACACAAGACAGAGGTAATTTCTTTTCAAATCAATTGAGGGTTAAGGGAACACTGGCTGGAAGGAGAGAATTGGATACAAAGAATGATTGTTGTCCATCATACACTGAGTAAGATTCTATACAACAGGAGATTGACAAAGTCGTCTTTGTAGTGTATGTGATAATCATTAATTTATCCTTTTTGCAAAATAACTAGCCTAATCAGGATAGAAGCATAGACCGTACATAAAGGATGTGGTAAACTGGACATTCACTGACATTTGTGCGCTCTTATGCTGTCTCTGTTGCATTGCAAAATGAATACTCACTTCTGAAGCAATTTGCTTATATGAGAGGAGCAAATGCTCAACTATGTTGAGTCGTTATGTCTGGTTTGATGTAGAATTCAGTCTTTGTAGGAAGGTGACTTGCCCACCAGATGGCAGAGAAGCTCTAAAAAATAAACAGTGCTATACAGAAAGGAAATCAACACACTAGCCTATATAACATGTAATTACTATTCCACATTGTTCATGACCCATCACATGTCAAAATGTTAACCCTTTTCCCTCATCTGCATTTAATAAAATAACTCCAGTTCATTAGAAAAGTGCTGTATTGAAGTTCTCCACTTCCCCTGGCTTGGGGTCAGGTCCCGATAGGAGAGGCAGCAGTGAGGTTTCAGGCTACAGTTTGATGAGGAGCTTCTCTTCCTTCTCTGTGACACTGGAACAATGATAACGAGAGAGAGCCTCTCCATCCTTCCTGAAAGAGGTACAAAGGGAAGGAGTGTGTGTGTAATGAGCAGTAGCTTCTCTCCATTTAAGGAAGAGGTACAAAGGTAGGGCAGGGTGAAGGTGCACTTTCCAGATTACCACAAGAATTTATAATGTCAAGGGGAGTGTGTTTGTGTGCCTGTGGGTATATGTGTG